ACCGCCGTCCCTGTCGCCACGACCAAGGTCGATAGAAGAGCGAAAGGTGACGGCAGGCCTCCGGATCTGGCGTCCGACGACACCGACAGCCGCGATACAGTCGGCGGGATTTGGACGAAAAGTCTTGCAGAACCGGGACAAAGGTACCGAGGCGGCCGAGATGGAGGGAGTAGGGGGTCAGGGGATGCTGGCGGGGTGGGAAAGTTGGCAGTTTTGACCGTTTATGGCCACACGTCGGGCTTGTAGGCGAGAGGGAACGCGAGAACAGATACAACGGCGAGGCGTGGGAGTTGCGTGAGTCGGTGGAGATGAGTTCGTGTGGCTGGGCGGTGATCATGTGCTCTTCACACGACGACTGGGCAGCGACAGTCTGGACATCCGACGCAGGGTCGGTCGGGGGTGTCTACTCGGCCGGCCGAGTGTGTCGGCAGCCTGGCTGGACAAGCGGGTGGAGGTGGCCCGGACAACGCGGCTGGAGGGCGTCGAGGCGTCGCTCGAAGGCCTCGGCAAGCCGGCGATTGGCGCATCTTCTCTCGGAGTCCCGAGGTACCACGATCCACTGGGTCTGCTCGGTTGCCGGGCGAATGGACCTCGTCTGTTGGCATACAGAAGGCCTGGCCGGCTCGACATGGGCGCAAAAAGGACGATTGTGCAGCGCCTGGCGGCGCGGAGCAGGGTCATAGAGGCAAGCGGACCCACGAGTCTGTATGGCAACACCTTTTGGCGACACCACCTCAGGTTAGACAGAGTTTAGGGGGGGTGTACATGAACCGGGAGGACAAGCGTTTTGCCCAAAAGTCCTGGCCATACTGTCCAGTCTGTGGCAAGCGGTTGCATTCAGCCTTAAACACACGTTGGGCATTGTCACACTCGCACCAGGACTCGAGCTCACCTCACAAAGCGGCTCACAATTGACCCTCCCTGTATGTCCCTGTTGTATGTGTGTGCACATATATAAATGTGTGTGTGTGTGTGTTCGAAAGTGAAAGAGAGGGAGGGAGACTGGATGCTTTCGCAGGGACGCCCGGCTAGTTTGATAAATGGTGTTGTGAGAATGGGAAAATCAGACGTCTAGACCAGTGGGTGGGGGCAATCTGATCACATGAAGCATGAATCACTCGGTTTCCAACGCAGTTGGTCGGAGCGATTACGGCCTAAGAATCACATTAAACAGCTAATTCCTGAGCAGGCAGACTGGCACTTTTATGCGGAACATGTGAAAATGTGTGCGCGTATGTATTTAGTCGACGAATAATCCTAAACATGAGGCGGGGTGTGGCGGAGTGGATGGCCCGATTTTCGACTTGTCCGTTCCGGTGCGGCGGTAGCGAGCCAACGCTGGCCTGGAACTGGAGGCCAATGGTACAGGGCGCCGGGGGAGTAGATCCTGAGGGTGTGAGTCTCACAGAAAATCCAGAGTCGACTTTATCGATGACCGGTGAGACATGGCTGGGATCGAGGCTCGCCTATTCTGAGCCTCAGCTTGCGCCTGGCCGTTTGCCTCAGTCTTGCCTCAGATCGACACGCCTCAGCAAGCAGAGGCAGGCATTGGAGACGATCTAACATGCCTGCCCCATCTCGCTCTCTCGCCGTGCCGCTACCGCCGAAAGCCTCTTTTGCCCGGCCAAGCTGTCATCTGTACCAGCCGACCAGCCGACCAGCCAGCCAGCCATCGCTGTTCAGTCGTTCGTCCGTCCGTCCGTTTGTCTGGCCATCCGACTCGTCTGTCTGTCTGTCTGCCGTTTCTGTCTTTCTCTCAACTACCATTTTCATCTCTCTCCCAGGCAACCTTGGCGCCTAGCCGTGGAGCCTGGTTGTCAAGGCCCAATCACGGCAAGGACTCTACGAGCCAATCAATCTGGCCGACGAAACGACCCCCTCACACTACCAGTTTCCTCCTGCAAATCAGTCAGACGGACGTCGAGTTAACCTGTTTTCCTATTCTCTCCAATTCCACCCGTTAATCTCTCTCTCTCTCCCTCTCTTTTACAGCCTCCTTTTCTCTCCTTCTCTACACTTGTGCCGTCTTTGCACCAGCAACGCCGCGCACAGGCGTACAAGCAATTAGGGCTCGACAGAAGTCCTCTCAGCCCAAGCCAGTCGCCTACCGCCTTGGGTCTGGTCGACCTGGTGTCAGTACCACTCTCCTCTTGCCTACACTGCGCACTACGCCCAACACACTCGCCATCCCACGTCTTCACTTTGACTCTCACCAAACTAAAACCGGTTGGTTGATACCCCAATCTTCAAGGCCACTGCCTAAATGGTCACTATTCTGGTAGCCTAACCAGCTGGTTGGCGTATGTTGGTTGGATAGGTTGTTGTCTGTATGGATTTCGTCTCTCCTCTATCATCACATACATGGCCTTCTCTCCTACTGAATGTGTGTCTGTCGTGCTGGCGGCCAGGGTAATTGTTTTCCCTAGTTGGCCGTGTCGCCAAGGTGACAAGGCCGCCTCGAAAACTCATGTGATGGCGTCAGGTCAACACATATTCATTTCTAAAAGATCATATGCTCACGCATTCACATACAAGTATCCACATAGACTCTTTCCCTCTCTCTCTCTCCCTCTCTCTCTCTCTCACACACACGCACACACAAACGCAACGCACACACGCACACACTGTTCATCCAAAATCCTTCATATTATTGGCCACCAAAAGACTTGGGAAAAGGCAGTACGAAGAGCAACTTAAGTCCGACTAGACATCACTTCTCTGCATGCTCGCACACATACACACACAGCCATGGTTACGTTGAGAGCAACAACGACTGGCACTAAATTCACTTTAGCCCAACCAGGACGGGTGCGCTAACGGATTGGCTGATGGACAGATGATTAAAGTCTCAGACTCGTGACGAGTAGGGATGTGGTCAGACTCGGCATAAAACCGACTAAGGAGTCAAACAACACTGAGGTTTTACATACTTGCTGTCCTTCACACGTTTGCATGCCTTTCTAGGCCAACCGACATCCATTAACATTAGTAAACACACACAGGCGTTTATATGACTACAAGCAAGTAGAACAACAAAACTAAGCACAACGAACTGATCTATCATTCGCAATTACGCCATTTTGACAGGATGAGCAAGTGAAATTAAAAAAGTCCACCCCATGTACTCTGCCCGATTCCACATTTTCTGGTGGTTTCATCGTGGGCGGACGGCATTCACAATTCGGAAAGTTAAAGCATTTGTAGGATTTCTCGCCAAGTGAACTTATAAACTCGAGTCTCTGTCCAATACTCGACCAATCAAAAGAGCCCCACCAGGCGTCCTGGGCCTAAATCCCGTTAAGCAGGATCGAAATTACCGCTTTGTGATGGGGTCTTTTGATCATGTCATCGTTGGAAACAGTTGACAAGCCCATCGGTGTATCTTCACATTAACATATAACCCGATGATATTGGTGGGAATTTTGGTTTCTATCCCTCTATTGTGCACAATTGTTGAGCTCACACATAACAGAAACTCGAAATAAGATGGGATGGTCTCAAACTTGTCATTTTGTTGACTGCCAACATAAGATAAAAATTAGAGAGGTCATCGAAATGTCACTAAAACCGCTAAGCGGTTAAGTAAGAACAGCATAATTTAGTTTTTAAGTATGCTTTCGTGACAACTACTCATGTGGTTTTATGAAACTTCAACTGCCCGTCCTTCCTAATCTTAAATGAATTAGGGCAAACAGAGTTCTTATTAAAGATCTTCCAGAAGTCTCGAAAACCAACTTACAAATGAAAACAAGTAATGTGATCGTTTGCTAAAACAAATACAACCTCTTGGGAAAAATTCTACTAACAATTCTTCGCCACCTTAAACCAAATAGGATAGGCACAGTTCTTATTCAAGGACCAGTTGTGCTTTATTGAGAGACTTAGGGATGGTGAGGACAGTAGGCTGACCGAAAGAAGAAGTCATTTCAACTAATTGTTCTAATTACGATCACATTATGTATATATATCTCATCCATGAAAACTGACAAATAAATATGACGTGGATTGATTACATCTCTCTTTAAACCTCTTTGATGGCATTGGTTTGGTGTCGTTATACAGTATTAGGATATAATAATGTGATGAGATGTACTCACCCTATTTCGTGGTTAACGTGTCAAGTTCACATGCTACACTGTCACGGTTCGACTCCCACTGATATCGAAGCTGCAGTCCACCCCAGCCGGGACGATAACAACTTTTGGGAAAGCAAGGCTATGTGAAATTGAATGGAAACATCAGCTCTATTCACATCATTGTGGGAAAATTCGACTACCAGTCCTTCATCACCTCATCATACCACAAATAATACACCTCATATAACTGAGTTAATGGTAGTCTCGAAACTCTACTTACATACGAAAGATAATAATTATATCCTGTTCTGATGATGTCCGTTATTTGGCGGACGAAAAGTCATCACGTTTTCCCCGATTCGAAGGACATTGCCTCAGGGACAGAGCCAAC